CACTGTTAGATTCTATCACATGTTGCAAAGATCTACCATGTCATCATAATTTTGCAGAGAGATTGATGTTAAGATGATTTGGAAGCATGCCATACAACTGCTTAAAAATAAATTGAAAACGGTTTTAATAGATAAAGTTTCATTTTGGGCATTTCCTGTTAAAATAATATGCTGTAATAGCAAGCTCGAAGAGCTGGCCCAAAGGGCCTGCTCTCAAAGCGAGCTTTACGGTAAAGTGAGTACCTGCCTAGATGATGGTTTTGAAAACTTATGTCGGAAGTACCGAACTGACACATCCCAACTTTTCGAATTGCAAGATAATTGATAAAAGCCAAGGTATTCTGATTGAAAACGGAAGGGTAGACTGTGGTGTCCTGCGCACTTATATGGGAATTATAATAGGACAGGGAACCAGAATAAACGTAAGCAGTGTATAAAATACTGAATGACAGTTTTCAAACTGGAAAATGTAAAATAAAATGAATGATTATTTTATACGATGTCATACTATTTTTATACTATTTCACGACACGGTAAAAGAAAATCGAGCTCGCTTTAAGCTTTGCTTAATCTGACACAGACTGATAGCTCTGTAGCTGACTAAATTTCAATCATAAATATTTGTATACACTGAACAAATTTTAAAGGGCATGAGCCTTAATGGTTTGTCTCATATTTAAGTTGCGTCATTGCGCTCACTGTTCACTTTTCCATGCATGATACAACACTATATAATACCGAAATAGGTATTTTACATGACTAACAATTGCCTGTGTTTGATTGTCAGTCAAATAGCAGGTGACATGCAGGTTGATGTAGGTTGTTATTGTTATCATCATAAGACTTGGAAGTTGCCTTGTATGAAATAAAATTGAAAATAACAAGTTCAATTTTCTCATGTGGTTTTTGGTGTATATATATATATATATATTCTGAATCTATACGGTCAGGAAGAGATTGACAGACAAATTCAGATTATTTGCATTATATTAAAATATGATGAAGGCCTCTTTTAATCAAACTATGTAAACTATCAAAGTAACAAAGAGCTTTGAAACTGTTCACAGCTCTGCGACTTGTTTAGTTTAATGCTTACACAGAATCTTTTTTCCAATTAAAGTATAACTACGTTTGTGCTCAGGCTTGATTTTGCCGTTTCTTGATACCTTATGGCCCCGCAGAGTATTTTCCCTATACTCGACAAACACATGGATGTGTGCAATGAGAAGTTTTCATTATGCAAGAATTACAAAAAAACCTGCAAAATTTGCGAGAATTTACATCATCCTCTTTCTTTATTTAATCTGTATTTCTTGCATATTTATTATCATTTTAGTTTCTGTTTGAAAGTTTTCAAATTGTCTCCATGTTATTGAAATGTCAGTCATATTAAAGTGTTTGTATAAATATTAGGCAGGGTACAAAAAGCAGATTGGTACGCTTTGATAAAATCTTCAAATTTAACTTTGCTTCTTATGGATTGAACCAGTGAAAAAAATATATAAACTCTATGTAAAACAATCTCATTTTCCCAGTGCCTTCAGTTCACGCAGTTTTTGTGCTGAAATTTGGCACCAATTCCCAGCCCCATGTAAGGAAAGTATTTAATTTTGCACAATTTTTTAAAGATATGCCCAACAATTTATTTTTAATAATACCTACCCTATATTTTGCCAAAAAGCAGGAGACATTAATGATTATAACAATAAGTTATTATCCCCGCCGATGGAATCGGGAGGGGATATAGTTTTGGCGTTGTCCATCCGTCCGACCCGAATTTCGTTTCCGGAGTAGTTCTCTGCAACTACTGGCTGGAATTCAACGAAACTTTATGGGAATCATCAATATCAAGAGGAGATGCGCATATCGTCAGCTTGTTCAGGTCAGAACCTTTGACTCAGTGTAATGGCCCTTGATTAGTTATGCAGTATGCATATAGAGTAAAATTTCGTTTCCGGAGTAGTTCTCTGCAACTACTGGCTGGAATTCAACGAAACTTTAGGGGAATCATCAATATCAAGAGGAGATGCCGCATATCGTCAGCTTGTTCCGGTCAGACCTTTAATTCAGAGTTATGGCCCTTGATTAGTTATGTAGTATGCAATAGAGTAAAAATCATTTCCGCACTACTTCTCTGCAACTACTGGCTGGAATTCAACGAAACTTTATGGGAACCTTCAATACCAGAGGAGATGCGCATATCGTCAGCTTGTTCCAGTCAGACCCTTTAACTAAGAGTTATGGCCCTTGATTAGCTTTATGCAGTATGCATATGGAGTAAAAAATCATTTCCGCGCTAGTTCTCTGCAAACTACTGGGCTGGAATTCAACGAAAACTTCATGGGAATCTTCAATACCAAGAGGAGATGTGCATATTGTTGCCTTGTTCCGGTCAGACACTTTAACTCAGAGTATGACCCTTGATTAGTATAGAGAAAAAATTGTTTCCGCGCTACTTCTCTGCAACTACTGGCTGGAATTCAACGAAACTTTATGGGAACCTTCAATACCAAGAGGAGATTCGCATATCGTCACCTTGTTCCGGTCAGACACTTAAACTGAGAATTATGGCCATTGATTAGTTATGCAGTATGCATATAGAGCAAAAATCTTTACGGCGGCTACTTCTCTGCAACTACTGGCTGGAATTCAATGAAACTTTATGGGAACCTTCAATACCAAGAGAAGATACGCATATCATTGCCTTGTTGGTGTCAGACACTTTAACTAAGAGTTATGGCCCTTGATTAGTTATGCAGTATCCATATAGAAAAATATTAGTTCCTCGCTACTTCTCTGCAACTACTGGCTGGAATTCAATGAAACTTTATTGGAACCTTTAATACCAAGAGGAGATGCGCATATTGTTGCCTTGATCGGGTCAGACATTTTAACTTATGACCCTTGATAACTTAGGCAGTATACAACCAGAGCAATAATCGTTTCCGTGCTACTGGCTGGAATTCAATGAAACTTTATGGGATACTAAGAGGAGATGTGCATATAGTCGCCTTGTTCCGGTCAGATACTTATAACTCAGATTTATGGCCCTTGATTAGTTATGTAGTATGCATACTGATCTCATTGGCATTTCCAGATATTACTATTTAACACAATAGAGTTATGGCTCTGCTATTGCCCTGAATATTTATCAAGTTCAAAGAATATTACTGTTTATGCCATGATTAATATATAAATAAAGCCTCATGTTTTCAGTTGTTGTGTCAATAAAAACCAGTACTCGGCGGGGGATATAAATTCAACGAATTTGCTTGTTGAAATTTGTTTTGCAAAATAAAATACTGGTATGTAATTGTTAACAGCATGAGTATTGTCACTTAATGTACAAAATGTATGTGCAGCAAAATTTTACTGAAATTGACCCCCCCCCCTCTCCCAAAGGAACATGCCATAGTGTTAGGGTTAAATTCCCCTTCCTACAGGTATATTGCACAGGTTCTGTTCCCACAAAACATAGACAGAGACAACAGCAGTTGTGCCAAGCAACACTCAGTAAGTGGGTAAACAGATATTGATTAACTGATAAGTCCAATTGAACATTTCTTTTCATTCTGTGTATAGTTTGATATTGGAATCTGACTATTTTTGGTTGAAAATATTTATTTTAATTAATATCATGTACCATTATTTCTGTTATCAGCATGCTTTGATATTGGTTTAAACATATTTATTTAAGCTCGATTGCGAAACAAGTTCTTGCAACTTATATTAATCAGTTTCGAGTCCGCTTCCTTGAACCAACCAGTACTGGTGTCATATGAAGAAACATGGTTGTGACCAGATCTTGAATGGAATTATGTAGCTTATGTTAACATTGTACAAGTTATTAATCTTTTATTAATTATAATGATAGTATAAGCACTACAAAGGTTGATATATTATAAAAACAATGTTTATTTATAGCTTGCCTCTTCTGAAATTGCCACCCACAAAAAAAAACATTCTGAAAATAAAATGAAGGAAAGGAATCATTCTGGTCATATGAATTCTTTATTGTCCAATTATTGTAAAGTTTAACACATGTTTCATTAACTTTTGTTCCATAAAATTCATCCGACTTGATAAACAACTGCATTTCCCTGCGATTGTCCACAGATTTCATCGGAGTCAACATTGATGGCTTTACATAAATATCAGCAGTGCTCAAAAGTTTCTGTCTGCAGGGTCTCGCAGATTATTCTTAAGCAAATTTTAATTAGCATGATCATGTGTCTCAACCATGTGTTATACAAAATCCACACTGAGCATACTGTTGTTCTAAATTTAATACTTTTGATGATGTTAGTGAAGGAAAGAATATGATAGGTTGTTTTAGTTCACTGTATATCTGTAAATATTTTGTTGTTTATAAATTTGTTGTAACTGTATATACATGTAATATGTATATTATGATAGACTCTGGCTCATTATAGGGAAGATTGGGCTTGCCTAACTGTGTTGCCTTTATAAATAGTCGTCATCATCATCATCATCATTATTATTATAAAGTAATCAGAAATGTAAAGTTTAAACATTTAACACGCGTATTTTATAATTTTCAGGTATGGCGGAGGAGGAGATATTGTTTGATGATGTTTACGAGCTCCAAGACGTCATCGGAAAGTAAGTTTTCTTTATATTCTTTCTATGTCAGTCATTAATATATTGCCAGAGATTTTTCTACAAATGGACCATATTTGTCTTTCTCATTTCTTACAGAACATTTCGCTGATCAGGCAGGTAATAAATCTGGTGATAACACAGGGTGAAAATTTAGCTTGAAGTACAATATGTATCTATTTTGCTACCAATTCTTAAGTTACAAAAAGAGATGTAAGATACTTTATTGTCCTGTTTATTTTTTCTTTTCAGGCATACTTTGTAATGCAAAGTAAATTAAATATGTTAAAAAATATATTCAAGGTATCATTTTGTATTCCCTAAAGAGTTATTTCCGAACTAACTTCAAGCAAAAGTTGTATTAAATGAAAACTTTTACATTGTTGACTTAATATCTTTGGAAATTATGCTGTTGTAATTTTGATGTTATATTCAATCAATAATGATTGACATCTTAAGGAACTCTTGAATACTCCTGAACTATCATGGTGACATCTTTAGGAACTCTTGAATACTCCTGAACTATCTTGGTGACATCTTTAGGAACTCTTGAATACTCCTGAACTATCTTAGTCATATTTACAAGAATTTTCATTACAATTTTTACCTTAACCTAAATTCTTTAATAATTTTGTCCAGCGACCATATTTGGTAATATCAAAGGGAAGCCACTCTTTTAAGACTGTGCTATGAAAGGAAAAACATGCCTTAAGCCTTGTCTGACAGCACACATGTGCAGGCTCAGGCCCGGCACCTAACTTGTGGCAATTGTAAATTATTTCTTGGTCCAGTATGTTGAAGCAGCATGCCTCCAGATTCATGTTGATTTTCATAAAAATTTTGAAAATGTATAAAAAAGTAAAATATTTTCATCGAAACAAAGAAAGTAAATTAAATTATACATTGCAAACTTTCATTCCATGTAAATTACCAAATAAAATTATAAATGTCAAAATAGCAAAAAACCTGACGGTGTTTGTTACAGTGATAAATTCATTTATTGTATGTAACATGTAAGTTATTTCTTGAATTGTAAAAATGTGTACTTTTCTTAAATTGTTTGTACACTTTTCTTAAGGTTGATTTTCTTGAAATACTTTTGACTCATCTGGAGGTATATACACCTTAAAGTATTGGTATAGAAAGATTTTGAGTGTGACAGTGTATCTTAAGTTATTTATCATAGTCCTCAATTAGTCCTCAATTATAAAGAACATATAAGGGAGGCAAATGTTGTCAAACTAAATTTTCCAAAACAAAAGTTGTTATCTCCTTTTTTAGGACATTTTTTTTTGGAATTTTCAAGAATACACATTTTAAACATAGTTGTGGGTAAAGGCTGCCAAAAAATGTTTAACCTACCATTTATAAGATGAATTGTTATACTAAGTGAGTAATGTAACTTATCAATAATTAATAATGTATTGATTAATCAGATGATAATAGATTAAAATTGACGAAGTTTTACACTATTGTCTGTACAGTGATATTACAAAAGAAAGGGGCTAGAATTTGTGTCAATGAAGTAAAATGTGTTGCAACAGACTATCTATATAACACTTTAATAAAATCAGCACAGGGTGAGATTTGGTTGGAAGTTTGTCATTTTAAGCTTGACTATTAACATTGTAATATATTTTATAATTATGTTGCTTTTTATTACCTTCCGTTTTAATTGGTATTTGATGACCTTTAAGCTTTTGGTCAAGGTCAATAATTCTCATATTTTCATTTAGAAAATGTGCAGTACTGAGATCACTGCTTCTCCAACAACTTTTGTTATTCTTTACTTCATCATGAACTAACGTCATACAGGGACGTTCATGTCAACATTGGATTGGTTCCGTGCATTTTTTTTTTGTCAAGAAGAATTGCCAAATTATGTCTTTGTTTGTCAGGGAAGTCCACTGGGTTTTCCATCTGCTAAAAATATGTGCTCATTAGCAGAAGCTATGGTGACATTAATAAATTAGATTTCTTGTTTTGTCTTCTTTCGTGTGTTTTTTTCCTGCTCTCAAGTTAGATTGTATAGTTGTTGAGATAATTTGATTCTGTCAGTCAGACTGTTAATAGAGAAAGGGCTGGTCAACTTTTTCTTATATTCACAACTTTTATATATTATGCTAGATCTCTATACACTGTGAAGATGCTCACAAAATTGCCTATGTTTTCTGCATCTTAGATGGTTCACTGTCTATTCTAGCTTCTCAGACCATATTTATCTAATTCCTTTTACAATCCTCCTGTATACCCCGTTATCGCCTTGTATAACTAACACTATATAATGCAAAAAAATTACTCTAAGGCAAGGTTAAAGTTGCTGATTTTATATGACTTATTGATATCCACTATGGGCTCGAACCTTTCCAGTGTCTTTGGGTTCTTAAATGTGAGGAAGCTAACAAGCTTGTTTTTGAAAGATCATTGGGTTTTCTCTGGTGCCCACTGAAATACCTGAAATATTGGACAGAGGACCATCTGAAGTCTCCCTCCCAACTCGTGTGATATAAAAACCCAACAAAAATATAACATATATGAGCCACATCATGACAAAACCAACATAATGGTTTGCGACCAGCATAGATCCAGACCAGCCTGCGCATTCGCGCAGTCTGATCAGGATCCATGCTGTTCCCTTACCAAGTCTATTACAAGTAGAGAAACTGATAATGAACAGCATGGATCCTGATCAGACTGCGTGGATGCACAGGCTGGTCTGGATCCATGCTGGTCGCAAACCCATTATGTTGGTTTTGTTATGACGCGGCTCAATTATATTGTCAGTCTACCATTATCGGAGTAAATAACCTGCGTTATCAGTCTTCAAATGCATTTAATTATGTCTCCCCCACCTCGGGGGGAGACATATTGTTTTTGCCCTGTCCGTCAGTCCGTCCGTCCGTCAGTCCGTCAGTCCGTCCGTCCATTCTTCGTTTCCGGACGATAACTAGAGTTCCTTTTGACCTACAGCCCTCAAACTTCATAGGATGATTGGTCTTATAGAGCTGATGATCCCTATTGTTTTTGGGGTCAGTAGGTCAAGGTCACAGTGACCGTTGGTCAATTTCTCGTTTCCGGATGATAACTAGAGTTCCTTTTGACCTACAGCCCTCAAACTTCATAGGATGATTGGTCTTATAGAGCAGATGATCCCTATTGTTTTTGGGGTCAGTAGGTCAAAGGTCAAGGTCACAGTGACCGTTGGTCAATTTCTCGTTTCCGGATGATAACTAGAGTTCCTTTTGACCTACAGCCCTCAAACTTCATAGGATGATTGGTCTTATAGAGCTGATGATCCCTATTGTTTTTGGGGTCAGTAGGTCAAAGGTCAAGGTCACACTGACCATTGGTCAATTTCTCGTTTCCGGATGATAACTAGAGTTCCTTTAGACCTACAGACCTCAAACTTCATAGGATGATTGGGCTTATTGAGCAGATGATCCCTATTGTTTTTGGGGTCAGTAGTTCAAAGGTCAAGGTCACAGTGACCGTTGGTCAATTTCTCGTTTCCGGATGATAACTAGAGTTCCTTTTGACCTACAGCCCTAAAACTTCATAGGATGATTGGTCTTATAGAGCAGATGATCCCTATTGTTTTTGGGGTCAGTAGGTCAAAGGTCAAGGTCACAGTGACCGTTGGTCAATTTCTCGTTTCCGGATGATAACTAGAGTTCCTTTTGACCTACAGCCCTCAAACTTCATAGGATGATTGGTCTTATAGAGCAGATGATCCCTATTGTTTTTGGGGTCAGTAGGTCAAAGGTCAAGGTCACAGTGCAGTGGGGGAGACATGCGCTTTTTTACAAAAGCATCCTCTAGTTCTCAAGAACATTGTCTTCTAAATTAATTGAAAGTGTTAGGTGCATAACCATACGTCTGTAGCTGTTGATTTTACCAATTTAACAATCATGACAATATAGATGTTTCATATCAAAAAGTTTGCTGTGACTTGGTGAAATAGGTTATTTATTCCCTTAGTCCTCTAAATATGTTTCATATATTCTATAAGGTACTAAGCGTTAATTTTATTCTGATGGGGCGTCCATGGCCAAATGGTTAAGGTCTTTGATGTCAAACCTGTGACTTGCCTCTCATTGCACCGGGATCTTCAGATTCGTCATTGGAGAAAACTATCCAGCTATAAACTTAAGGAACATTGGTGGTTCCACTCAGGAAACCATTTGTGCCTGAAATTATACACAGAAGGGCACCAAAAGTCTTCCTACACCGGTAAAGCTGGAATGTTACCCATGTGACCTAGTATACTGTGTTGATGAGACGTTAAACCCAAACAAACAAATTTATTCTTAGTATTATGTCACTATCGTGAAAGGATATTAAGATATTAAAAGTTTCGCAGTTTAAAACCAATGACATTAGAGGTTTTTTTCAGCATTTTTTCAAATTTCATAATTTTTATATAAATTGATTTAATAAGGATAAACAGTTTTGTACAATTTCATCCAGAAATAATGATCAAGTAGATTTAAGTGTGCATATAGGAGTTAATGTGAAAATAAGCAGGAAATATTTCATCACCATCTAAAACAAATTAATCAGGCTTACACTATCCCAGAATGCATTGCTTCCAACAAAACTGTCTGATTGGACAACAGTAGAGATTTTCCTGAGGAAAATATGCATGACCAAAGAAGCAGACAAATTAATTGATTATCAATGGAGAGAATTGTACAGACTTTGTTGATCCTTGTATTTGAAAAGCACTTCAGTTTTTGTTATGAGAAAAATAACAATAAAAAAATCGCAGCAACAAAGATTTTCTTAGTTTTGTTTTGAGGGATAAGTATTATATTTGTTATAGACTTGAAACATCTGGCCACTTACCTGTTGGTCACGGTGCCTGCTTGTCCTCCTCTACTAGTAAAAGCTGAGAAGTTGCCTTACAACCCCCCCCCCCACACACACACCCCACACATACTCAAGCACACATGTACAAAATCTAAATTCATATTCCTACTCTTAACAAGGTTGAGACCGGTTGT